GCCCGAGCATCGCGTCTTTCCCGCCGACCTGCTGGCCGTCTACAATGCCGAAGGACAGCTGCACACGCCTCGCCAAAGCTCCTCGATCTCATCAACGATTTCCTTCAAAGCCGCGACCGGCGCTATGGCTACGCTCCTGGGCGTTGGCGACGAGCTGGCTGAGCGAAGACGTCAACACGGTGGGCTCTCCCAGCAACTTCTCGTTTTCCCCTCGCTGCTGTCGGGCCGCAACTGCGCAAGGAGATTGGCATTCTGACGGAGCGTGACGACATGGAGACATCCAAGATGCGCGAGCTGTACGCCACGCTGCTCAAGGACACGCTGGCGCTGGCCGAGACGGTCAAGCCCACGCGGGCACTTCATGAGTGCTGCGGCTCGGCGCTGGCGAACCTGCTCAACCTCTTGTCAATTGGCGAGTTCATCAAGGCTGTGGAGAACCTCATGGACAAGACGGAAATTGACCTGCGACGCAAGGTGCTGCGGGCGCTCGAGGTGCGCGTCGAGCAGGAGGGCACGGCGGACGCGACATCACGGGCGGCGCTGCTGGGCTTCCTGCCGCAGCTGACGGCGGCCATTCGCGACACGGACGATCTCAAGTACAAGCACACGGCGGTGGCGTGCGTAGACAAGATTGCGGAGAAGTACGGCAAGAAGGACCTCGAGGCGGTGGCGGCGGCGGCAGCGACCATTGCCGGGCCCTCGTGCCTCGGCCAGCCCGACACGCAACTGCGCGTTATGACGCTACTCTGCCTGGCGTCCCTCGTGGACGTGCTCCAGGACGGCATCCTGCCGGTGCTCGCGCTGGCGGTTCCGCAGGCGATTCTGTATATCCGCCAGAGCCTCGAGGCGGAGGATGGCGACGACCAGAGCAGCGACCTGCACAACGCGGGCTACTCGTTCATCACGGCGCTGGCACAGCACCTGCCGTACATGGTGACGGGGGCCTATCTCGACCAAGTGCTCCTGGCGTCCAACGCGTCAGCGGAAGCGGACCTCGACGACGACGCCAGCGACAGCCGGCTCAACTGCGTCCGCTTCCTGGCGCGCAAGGTGGAGCCCAAGGTTTTCTTCGCGGGTCTCGAGCGCAACTGGGAGGCGGCGGTCGCAGCTGGAAACGAGGTACGTCACTTTCGCGGTGCAGCAAATTTCACATTAGGGAAGCTAACAGAGGGCAGCCCTCAGCGAATACGTCGACGTGCTGGGCGTGGCTGTCGAGAGCCACCCCAAGTCGGTGATCGCCTAGAACGTCACGTTGTTCTCGACTATTCTCCTCAGACTCTCGACCTTCC